AAAGAGTTAATCGTTTTGTGTATGCACTACGTACCATAAAAAATGTAACTAATAAAAAACGGCACTATTATGCTATCGGGCGTATATTAAATCTATACTTCGATATGGTATAATAATGTGGAGTAATAGCATAGATTGGCGTAGGGCATTTATCGCACAAAAGAAGTGTATAAGGACGATATGTGGTATCTATTCAAAAATCTGTCTTTACTAACTATGCCCTCGTTATATATTTTTGAGATAGGTAAATTCGTAAAACAGCATACATATTTATTTAAAAAGTCATCTGATATTAATCCTAGGCTTAAAAGAAATCCAAATAGATTAGTTCTAAGCGAAGTTCCCAAGTCAGCTAAATATATTAAATGATCTTTATCAATAAGTGTACGTATATACAACAAAATACCTGATGAAATTAAAACACTACATAATATGAACTTATTTAAAAAAAGATTGTACCATTGGTTAATGGACAAAAATATTTATGACATTAATGAATTTCTGACATTTTAAACTAGATTTTGACATTGTAAAACATAATTATAATTTAAATAAACATGTTTAATTTGTTAATTTTAGTACTATATAGGTTATCTTGATTTAAATGTAATTTGCATTCTATATTATATTAAAATAGCAAAACATGTGGGCATAATAAAACTCTGAAACATCTGTATAATTACCATGTTTTATGCAAATAAAGACTATTATTATTATTATTTTTGGGGTATCTGTATAGTTTTCTCATCTGGTTGGTTTTTATAAATATATAATTATAAATTAAAATGAAAAGATAAATATACATAAATATCAATAAAATAAAATAAATACAAAAAATACACAAATAAATAAAGATCCAACCAGATGGAAGCCCTCGGCAGGGGAGACCAAACGGCCGAGGGTTAGGAGGAAAGGGAAAGAAACCGACGGACGATGCGGGCGGTATCGAGGACCACTGCCTTCTGCATTTGAGCCCGGAGCGGTCCGTCACGGAGTCCCAGTCGCCTCAGATGACCCGAGAGGCTGACTGGGATTAGCCCGTTTGCAGAGACGACTACAGGAATAATTTCGGTCGGCAGACCACCCCACATGTCGGTCACCTCGTGAGCCAGGTCCAGATATTTTGTTTGCTTATCTGTTTCGGCTTTCACGAGGTTCTCGTCATACGGAATGGTAATGTCGACCAAAAATAATTATTATTATTATTATTATTATTATTATTATTATTTGGGGACACAAAAAATCCACATTTATTATTTGCTTTTACTTGATTATAAAGACACCTAACCGACAACTTGTCCATCAATTTAAATTTCTTGGAACCACATCACATCTGACCAAAATATTTTCTCGAAGCCGAATTAATCGAATAACTTCGTCAAGATCACAATTTACCTCGTCTTTTATTTTACTACTTTACGTATATTCACCATAATCCTTTTTATAATTTTTCTCCCAAAACAAATGATACTATATAAAGATATACAAGTTTTCGTTTTTATACGCCTCATCTCTGCCTTACACTTTGAATAGCGCAGTTCAAAGTGCAGAACGAACTAACTACCGCTATGTATCTTGTTATGCGCACTAGTGTACTGTAATTGTTATGAATATTTTGAAAGATAAAAATAATAATAATAGTAATGCTGGATGACAAGAGTACTCATGATTAAAGTAACTTTAATTTCTCTATAAAATAATACAATTAATAATAAATTGCAAAATAATCCTGTTATTTTGCAATAACTGACTAAATTAGCAAAAAAGTTCAGAATAAGTAATATAGGCAAAGAAGTGAAGAAAAATTTATTTAAAAAATTACAACCATTCTGTCTATTCATTCGTAATGGTCGATCGGTAGGCAAAAACTTTGTTGCTCATAAATCGCATTCAATATGGGATAAGTTTTAAATACATTTAGAAGCCTTATTTACTCGTATTTTCATAAATTACATTAATGGAATATCATTATTTATAGATATATTTGAACCTAAATTTAAAATTTGCCTAGTTTTGGAAAAAAAACACAGGATGTGTGATGTGAATAAATTGTCCCATATTGGTCTCGGAGTTATAGGTCCTATTTTATGTAAGACTTGTGAAAAAAAATATATATATGTTTATATATTTAAAATGTAACATGCATAAAACGTTTTTATCGTAATAGGATAATGGGTTTCTGATTGTGTAGGCGATGAGATAGCCATCTATAACTTCTTTCACAATACTCCATCTGTATCTTCGATCAACAATTGCTCGAAGATCTGTATAATACTCACATTCTTTCGCTAAACATGTAACAAGTAGGTGACTACTTGACCCCTTGGGATTATTGGTGTGACGCTATGTATCAGATATGTTTTAATTAAGATGGTATTTTTCGTCAGTTATTTTTAAGCAGTAAAAACCTATATGAATAACATAAGGGCGGTAATGACTACTTATGATAAATGTATTAGGAGACTTACGTTATGTTAGTAACTGCCTCGTTTAGTTTCGTTAGTTTACCGTATGTAAACTTACTTTGTTTTATCAAAATGTATTATTTTTCTAACTGAGTTTCTTCTAAACATCGAACACAAATCACTCGTTTAACGAATCCATTATATGACTCATTCATTTTTTAATAGTTTGTGCTTCCTTCTTCCGTTATCGAAAGACAATCCGATGAATGATAACCTCAGGTAATAATGATAACCAATATTTCTTATCTAAATTATTTACATAAGTACCAGAAAGTTGGTCATTGAACGTAACATTCGTTTATTTCAATTATTTATTCTGATTTATTATGAAAAATTATCTATTCATTTATTTATTCTGATTAATATATATCTTACGAATATTATAAAAATACTTGCTTTTAACCGCTACGTCATCCGCGTAAAACTTAAACAAAAATGTATAAAGAATTAGAATTGATATATTTGTCTCTTTCTAACCTAAATCTAACTTGGGATACTGCCGTCATCGTCGGCGTCATCATCAAAAACTTCGCAACTTAATTCATCAACATAATATTATTGAGGAGAAGTTCTTGAATAAATTATTGTTAAAGGATAATTTTCTTATAACTTGCTGAAATTATCTTAGAATATACTCGAGTGTATTTTCTGTTGAGATACAGGCCATGTTCCGATATATACTGCGAGCACTGCTCAGTGGTCTCACTGGTAAAAAATTCATTCCGTTATGGACTGCCAGTATACTGCCGCAATACCGTAAGGTGCTCTGAGTATTTTGATCAAGTGATCAAAAACATAATAGCGCCTAAAGATTTAACAGCTTCCACAAATGATTGTTATTATTATAAATTAATATTGTTAAAATAATAAAATAAACTCGGCCATTAAGTTTAAAAAAAAGCCACATTCAAATAATATTTTTTCTTGATGAACAGAAAACGTGTAAGTATATTATATGTATTTATATTTGAAAATATATCGGAAAATAGGGATGACAGTATATATACTGGACTGCGTTCCGTTTGAAACTGTAACCAGTATAGCAAACTAAAAAGGAACGGCTTCACAGTATACTGAATTGACATCATACCTTACAGTTGTCACAGTGTATATCAGAACACACCCACTGTTGAGATACTTGACGCTGACAAAAATATAACCGTACGAGTCCATTATTCTATTACCTACCAAGAGGTAGGTTACTTAAGACTTTCACTAAAGAAAGAAATAAACATAAACCGCACAGCAGTGTCATGTGTCACAATTAAAACGAGCCGAATTATAAGTTCCAATGGTAATCTAAAACGTAGTGATTTTGTACTCTTAGTGGTATCGTTCACTCTAGTAGTAATCTTCCTATAGTATATATATATACACAGCATACAGGCAACATACAGGCATTTCTTATCAAGACGAATTTTCTCATATTTATTTTATTTACTACTCAGTAAAATTTTATTTTTAATTATGTTAATTCCAATAAAATTAAATGAGCATTAAGTATTAAATGAGCACTAAGAAAAAACAATTTCATGACTTAGACAGGTAATTAATATAGATAATTCTTCGATCTACCTCTAACAACAAGATTTATATTCCTACTCATCTCACGTGGTATATACGTCATATTTGAGGAAGGCCTATGTTGAGCAGCGGGTTACAATGATGATAATGGTGCATTCTTATGAAAGTTGGTCGTATCATTATGGTAATAATATAATTTGATTATACAAATGTATTTAAATTTTAAGAAATCTACTAAATAGTACCAAAGAAAAACTTTTATGCGTTGGCAACATCAGACAAGACCGGTTACTACTTTTAACCTGGCTCGAATTATTAATTAGAAAAGTGTCAAGCAAAAACGAACCTTAACACCATCATATAGAGTGTAAATTTGTTATAATCATAAATTGATGTAGGAATTTAGTAATGAATCTAATGCCTGTTGACTTTAATAAATACTCATAGGCGTTACATGTTAAAGGTAACGTGTATATTAAAGTTTTGGGTGCGGTTTCACCTTAACAATGTGAAATTTTCCCCGTGGTGTACATATTGCTGTTATTAAATTATTATTTTACTATAATAACGAATAAGTAAATATATTATTGTAATCAATTTTGAATTTAGGATAGGTGATGTCTACGATTATGTTTTTTACAAGTGTTTGGTTATAATTTTGTATGAATTATATGTTAGTGTATCTTATCTTAGTATGCAAATAATACACTATATTGCCTACATTAAAACTCAAAATGTAAATGCCTCTTTTATCCTAATTGAATTTCATTGTTGTATTTTATTTTTAGTGCTGTATAACTTAATCCAAATAAGCGGCAGCTACTTATCACAATGGAACCACTAGTAAAAGTACCATATAACTTATGGCCTCAACTACGTGATTCATATCTCTTAAATTGGGCGAAGGGGGCAAGTGCTTATTGTCTATTAGATACGCAAATAAATAACCCAAAATTAAGAGAAGAATTTAACTTTACAGTATATTCTCCGTTTGGAGACATAAGTAATGGGATGGTAGTCTTTACAGATAAGGTAAATAAACAATAATTAAGTTTGTAATTTCTATTTAATGTGTGTTTAACGTTCTTATATTTAATTTCATTTTTACAGAATGAATCCATGGAAGTTATAATTCTGCCTGTAAATAACTCAATAATGATTGAGAAAGCTTTATTAAACACAAATTTAGTTGACTGGAATAGAAATGTAACAGTACCATTCGCTAGTCCCGACGTTGTTGATTTACTTCTGAGATTATCCAAACCAATGAAACTAAAAGTTATCTATGAGAACGGTAAAGCTGTTAAACATCTTTTAGAGAGAAATTCTACAAGTTTTAACATTAGGTACGTAACATTACTCACGAAGTATGTCGTAATATATTATAGTATGTCGTAATATATGTCGTAATATATATAGATAATTTAAAAAAACTAGCTGTTAGTTTTCATTAATATAATTTGATTAGTTTTCCAGACGATACTTATATGGCATCCTTAACGCCAGAATACATTGAGACTGTGGACAAAGCTTGGTCATATTATAGCGAAAAATCGAACGGATTCTTCAAGACACTAATGGATAACGATATGACATACGTCCTTTATTCGTCCAACGATCACAAGCCATTGGCCTGGGTCACTATAAACGAAGCCGGAGCACTAACGCACCTCTTTTGTCTAGAGCCGTTTAGAGGACGGGGATATGCCGAAATGGTAACGAAATTTGCTTGCAACGATCTTTTAAAAAAAGGTAGAAACGTACTAGCTTACACCATGGAAGGTAATTTGGCTTCACAAAAATTGCTTGACAAAGTTGGATTTAAGGTTATTGGGCGCGATTATTGGGTGTTCATTAAAAACTATTCATAATACCCTGATTTTTGTGTTTTATTACATCACTAGCTATGTCCGCGGATTTTTGTAGAAGTGGAGATAAACGTGCATCTCACCTAATAGTACTCGTAAATAATCACCGCCGCCCATAAACAACAGTACAGAAATCGCAGATACGTTATCACAATAGTACTTGTAAGAAATTTATTTATTTATTTATTGATCTCTTCACAACTTCTTACTGGCTAGTTAACAATAACAATGTAGTAAGGACCTAACGTTATGAGAGACTGGTGCCTATGATAGGTTTTATAATAAAACCTGAGTTACAGGTCACCAGGCCCCCTTCTTAATAAAACACACTGTAGTTGAGTGGTAATCATCGAAATGATTTGGGTGTAAAATCTAGTTCTGTCGCAGTGTACGATGGAGGAATTTAGCATTTCCTTCCAAGTGACCGCGCAAGTGTATGCCATTCTAATGTCCATAATATGTCGACACCAAAGATTCCTTATCGATTTCATATACAATGGATCCTATACAATTGAAACTTTGTTGTGTACTCGTATAATATGTCAGCGTGTCAATGATCTACTTACTTCATCTATTATTTTTAATCTATACGTCTATAAAAATAAATAAAATTTGAAGTGTCTGCTTGTCATGTAAAAATTACAGCTTTTTACTAAATGCATTTTTAAAATTTTTGTCTCTCGGTTTGTTCGTTCCGACTAATGCATAGATAAGAGTGTATATACGGAAAGACTATCACAGAAACGGCTGGACGAATATTTGACGGGATTTTCACTACTGCTTAATGTAAAAAAAAGAATTAGGGTTCAGTGCAAAAAAATTAAAACTCTCAATTACATGCCGATGAAGTCGCGAAGAACAGCTAGTAAGAAATATCCTTGATTAACAGTAAGGAAAATAATTAGGGTTCGGTGAAAAAAAAATTAAAACCCTAAATAAAGTGAAATGAAGTCGCGGAGAACAGCTAGTAAGAAATTATATTGATTAACATCATACCTTACTTTTCACAACCTTATGTATGCTTGAAAAAGCTACTTTCGCGTACATTCTATAATATGGTCAGCGCATCCTGATAAAACATCCGAGCAGCGCTTTTTTCTGACGATATAATACACATGTAATATATCGTCGTGCCGTGGTAGCTCAGATGGTCAGCGCTCACTCTAAATTTCACGGTACGCGAGCAACCCAGGTTCCATCCCCGCCGGCACCAATGAAATTGTTAATTGCAATTTTAAGTGCTGACTTACCACGTACTCGGGGGTGAAGGAAAACAACGTGAGGAAACCCTACATGTCTGAGAAATAAGAAAAAAAATATTTCGAAGACATGTCAAGTTCACCAACACGCTTTGGGGCAACGCGGCGGATTTCCTTGCCCTACAGCCCTCTCAGAAATGCGAAGAGGCCTGTGCCCAGCAGTGGGACGTATATAGGCTGTAACTAAACTTTTATTTCGTCGTAAGCGCGAGAAATGCAATTTATACAAATTCAGAATAATAATATCTGTCCTAAATGTTAGTAAACTGCAAGAGTATGCTACATTATTTGATTGGTTTTCATGATTTTGTTTTAACACATTCGGGGATGAAGTAGGGTAATGTATTCTCATATTCTCTTGTGCAGACAGCATAAGACAATTATAATAATTAATAGAATCAGGCGTTACGTTGCGGAAATCCATTACATTAAAGTTAGTTAGAATTACTTGGCCCATATCCGCTCAATTAAATAAAATGATGTGTCTCACCTAGTTTGAAGAGCACATCGCCCTCCCTGAATTGCGTGCAATATCCCCGTCACCACTAATCCCAGCACCACTACACTAGGAAAGACACGCCATATAATACATACATATAATGTAGATTCTACGGTGGCTCGTCAAACCAGCTGCTATTTATAAAACTCACTGAGGCAACCGCTCCCCACTTCAGTAGCTAGCAACCGCGTCATGCGACAATACAGACATTAATATAAGACAAAACAAGCAAAAAAACATGCGAACAATCACCACCTGATATACGCAGGCGCTTGCTGTAAAAATAATAAACAACAAATCGCTGCGAAATGGCTTGGTACCCTCAAACCACGCAATCAATCGCTGAACACCATGAGGGTAATGAACGACCATATTGTGAGGCTGTCTGTTATAAAAGAGCAAATTTAAAGATGTTTAATAAAGGTGAGTTGAAACATTTGTTTGTTCATTCAACAGTGCAACGCTACTATTTTTTTTTTAATATCTCTAAATGTTCCAGCACACACAGTCGTAGCCCTTTATTACAAGTATGTAAGTAAGGAGTGGTCGTTGCCTAGGTTGTGTCTAGTGTCCAAGGGATGTTTAGCAAAATGGGATTTTTCGGTATTACAATTTCCGTACGCGACTAAATGTTCTTTATAACATGTCCCAAAGTTGCGACGAGTCTGACCCACGTGGCATTCGTCACCAAAATTTGTGAATACCAAATTGTAAAAACTGAATATCCAACTTATCTTCATTATTACAGATATTCCTAAGAGAATTGTTTGAACGCCACATTAACGCCGTTTTTTCGACGAGTATTAATAATTTTTCGGATATGAAACCTAAGTAGGTCAAACTGCCCACATATTGACGAGCACTTCGAGTTTGAACCGCGTACAGAGAATTACGAACGACATGGTTTTGTTTCTTTTTATTTAAATTGTGAATGAGATTTTTGAAAAACGTTTAGAGACTGCAATTTGATAAATTCATCATCATCATTACATCCCTTCACAAGTCCACTGCTGAACATAGGCCTCCCCCAAGTAATGCCGCAAAGCACGGTCCTGAGCCACCTGCATCCATCGACTTCCTGCATGTCTTACCAGGTCGTCACTCAATCTAGTGGGGGGTCGCCCTACACTACGCCTACCGGTACGAGGCTGCCACTCGAGAACCTTTCTTCCCCATCGGTTATCGGAGAGGGCTATCTCCATAGCTCGCTGAGCGACCTTGAGCATCCTCATACGGCCAGCGGATAGCGGCCAGTGGATAAATTACACTAAGCTCTAATAAATTATTTTCTTTACTTAATGGGATAGTGAACAGACGATTAATATAACAATATCAAGCGGTTAATTTATATGTGGAAAATTTACATGGACACGATGACGCGGGAATGACCGTGTCGGTATGAATTGGTTTTCGTTATATAATTTTGGGAAACATGTAACGACTGTTTACTAGTTATTGTTAAGAAGAGGAAATTAAGGGATCAATCTTTTTCCAATTCAAGCCTAAATTTAATTCGTCACCCTCACGGTGATCGGTTAAACATTTTCCAGAGGAGGTGATCGCCTTATTGGCCATAATCTTCAACGCTTGCTTCGACTTCAACTACTTCCCCATCTCTTGGAAAGAGGTAACTATCATTGGCATTCCCAAGCCAGACAAGCCACCTGCCCTCCAATCACCGTCCCATCAGCCTGCTCAAGGCCATGGGCAAACTTTTCGAACTTGTTATCCTCACTCGCATGAGGCGCCATCTGTTTCTCACAGACGGCGATATTCTTTTCATCCCGCATTTCATGCCCCCAACAAGTTCACCGTATAGTGGCATATATTCTGAGCGGTTTTTATCTCGTCGTCAAAAGACCGTCGTCTCAAATCACGTCTTTTTCGACATTGCTGGGGCATTTGATAGAGCATAAAGGCCTTATCTACAAATTGTACGACTTAGGTCTACCTGATCGTCTTGCCCAGATCCAGCTTCCTACTTGAAGAATCGTACTTTTCGTTTCAGACACGTAGGCACGCTATCCTCTCCTCGTCATATCAAAGCCGGTGTCCCTCAAGACTCCGTGCTTGCCCCTTTTTATACATACTATTCACCAACGACATTCCCATGCCGTCAAATGGCGTCAAACTTGCCCTCTTTGCATATAACATAGCCCTTTACTCTAAAGACAACTCACTGCTACAGATCCGGAAAAAGATCCAAAAGTCTGTAAATGACTTAGGAGCTTGGTTCCAGAAACGGCGTATCTACGTGAACCCGGAGAAGAGCTCCGCCGTTTGCTTTAAACATAAATGACGCCGCCCCACTGTCATTCCGCCAATCCGGATGTTAGGAACCTCTGTCCCTTGGCAATGATCGCCAAATACTTAGGCGTCACCCTTGATAAGAGGCTCACTTTCGAGCCTCATGTCAAGAAAGTAACTCGAGCCGCGCGATGTTACATGACTAGGCTCAACAGCATGCTAGACCGACACAGTAAAATGTCACTGCGCAACAAGCGAACCCTGTATAAAGTCTGTATACGACTTGTCACGACATACGCAGCTCCTATTTTTGCTCATGTCAAACCTAGCATCTTGGATAAACTTCAAATAGTTCAAAACCTCTTCTGTCGTCAGGCTACAAACGCACCCTGGTTCGTCCGGAAAGCCGACCTTCACCGAGACTTAGAGCTCCCCACAACTCAACAATTCTTAAAATCACTCTGAGAAATTCTTCGAAGCCTCAGAGTCCCACTCAAGTCACCTCATTCGTGAGGCTGCTGCCTACGCAGCCCCACTTTCCTCTCGCTATAGTGTCCGCAGGCCAAGAAACTCTCTCACAGACCCCCCAACAAATTTCGGCTGACCTGAACTGCCTCCTGGCGGCTCAAGCCAAGCCTCCCCATCTTATCTCGTAATCTGCCTTAGTTAGGCACTCTTCTCAGCGCCTACTCGCCGCCTGCGCCCCTATTTCACCCAAGGGGGGTTAGGTTAAAACCAGTCTCACATGTGGTTTTTAGCGGGTAAAAGTCCCACATAACCACGCAGCCGGCTGCGTGGTATGCTTTGAGCATTCACCATCTCCCTCCCCCGCTTTCCGGAGGGTAGCCCTTCTTTGCTTCTGGGCGCAAAAAAAAAATCAGCGGGTTGTATGAGTGGCAGCTGTTTTGGCTCGCCGCTCACTTAGCGGTCAGCCACCGTAGAGTCTACATCACTTGACAATACCTCATGTGGAGGCGAAACACGTGTCGTATTAACGTCTATGGTGTGTCTTTCCCAATGTAGTAGTGCTGGGAGTAGTGGTGCTGGAATTAGTGGTGACGGTGATAGTGCGTGCAATAGAGGGATGGTGGGAGGCTCTCTTCAAGCTAGGTAAGACACATCATTTTATTTCATTGAGAGGATATTGGCGAAGTAATTCTTACCAACTTGAATATAATGGATTTCCGCAAAGTACCTAACGCCTGATTCTATTAATTATTATAAAACTCTTACCAACTTTAATGCCAGCGTTTATTTCGTTGTGGTTAAATGAACTATTATTCCTTGTGGCGTCTGTGGCAACATATCTTTGAACAGCTTTTTCTGATCAGCTTTTTTTAAAACGTCACCCCGAAACTAGGATTTTCTCCTGTATCGTGGAGCTAGTTTACATACATAAATTGCACAAGGACAAACATCCAGGGCTGAAACAATTATTTCTAGACCATACAAATACTTGTTTCGCGTGGGATTTGACGCCGCGGCCCTCAGCGCAGCAACTCATTGCTAAGCCACTGCACCACGAAGCCGTCCATATAGTTTGTGTAAGATAGAAATGGGATGGTTATATCATCTATCAAAAGCCATATTTTATGGTATTTCTCACAGTCGCCTCTTATGACACTCACGAAGAAAAAATAGGATAATGAATTCTCTTACGCTGCCAACACAAGGCGAGCGTTCATTGCTTTATAACAACTTGAAAAATTTGCCGTGTCGTGGCTCCGGAAGCATTTCCATTACCGCATTTTTTCCTGTAGTAAGAGATGACCGTGCTAAATGTTCGAAAGACCTCATAACTTTCCATAGCGGACGGTACGTGTGACGTAAACAATCTCGGTTATGCCTCACATAAAATGTCTAAAACTTCAATTTTAGATAATTATTTACAAACACGATTGCTAGTCCTCAACCAGGCTCAGTCATGCTAACTGGATATTGTTATGAAATCGGCTATTTTTAATTAATACCTAATCTAATATTTTTACTAGCTGTTTGTTTACTCATTACGATTGTAATTTATGGGTTTTGATATTTTTTTTGAGTAATGTGTGCGAACGTGGATATGAAAAAATAAAATAATTATTATGATGAAACATTAGATTAGTTTAAGGTTAGCATTTTACACTAAATATATTTCTCGACAAAATTTTAACAACTTTATAGCGCCGTACTGTTTGCTTGTGCAACATAATTATAGGTCACTCACACAATTTAGCCACGAACGCTGGTTAAATCATTCTGTCGTGCAGTATCCTGTTATCTACAGGCAAAAGTGGACGACTCGACTGAGAGCGTGAACGTTTTTAAACGATAAGGTTATTACTGTTTCAGTCCAGTGAAGATAATTATGAGTGAGGACGCTTTGGTTTTTTTACCAGTTAATCGATGGGACGAGCTGAAGAACTTATTTAAATCAGATTGGCCTCGAAGTGTGTCTGGTTATACTGTTCTCGAAATTCAAGAGAGGATATTGCAACTTGGGCTTGATTATGGATTCAGAGTGTACTGTCCTTATGGAGAGTTATCAAATGGAATGGTTGCTATGAACATCAAGGTAAATAATACTTGTATATAAAGCGATAGTGCTGCTATAAGGAATTTGTATATTAAAGTCATTTGTGTGATATCTTCTATATTTGAATTAATTAAGAAAATACCATTTTATGAACTACCTATATTTAAGTAAGTATGATTTGTGATTAACTTGGACCAAATTACACTTAAACTATGTAGTGGCGGTGTCAGAACTTCCACTATCCCATATTGTCCCGTGGATGTCGTAAAACACGACAGAGAGAAAATGAAGCAGGAGATGGGCAATAGCTACTTCCTAATAATAACTAAAAAACTGCATTTTTTAAACAACGAAGAAACAATTAAATTGCAGTAAATGGATTTTAATTTATTTACCAAAATAAATTAAAATCAATTTACTGCAATTTAAATGTTTTAAAACATATTCCTATTCAGTAATACTTTTTAATAAAACTACAACATAGATTATTTCTTTAACAAATTGAAATACTATTTCAGAAAACATTAAACGAAATTGTAATACAAAGCCCAAGCGATGATACAAAAAAACTGGAAGAGGCGCTAAGTAGTACTAAATTAATAGATTGGCAACAATCACTTCACGTGCCTTTTGCACCTAAACATATTATGGAATTCGTGAGAAGAATAATCTCGGAAAAGAATTTAAAGATAGATGAGTTAACCTTGACAGAAACTTTCATGTTAGATAAAAGTAAATCTTTGTTTGAAGATGTCAGGTAATTTTTATTTAACAATATAATAAAATTATCTTATTGTATTTGGTAAAAAATGAGCCGTAGTAGCTTTTGGACTCTCCCCCATGAAGCGGGGCAGGTACATACTCGTAAACCACTTGAAATTTCTATCACATAAGTATATTACATTCGTACCATTTTAAGCAAATATTATAAAAAGTATATAATATATTATACTTTCTTGTGATTAAATATTGAATAATATAATAAGCTAGTAATAGTATAATTATTTGCAAAAATTTTAGAAAAAAATTTCTTCATTACAGCCCTACACAAGTCCACTGCTGAACATAGGCCTCCCCCAAGAATGCAACAAATGCCCTGAGTAACGTACATTCATCAATGTTTTTTTATAGGAAAAGCGTGACAAGCGAGCACACAGTCCACCTGATGGTAAGTGGTTGTTGTGTCCCATAGACATCTACATCTATCCTCGTTTGCGAATCAAAATGCAGATGCGTTGTCAGCCTTGAGGACTAAGATGTAATGCCTCTTTTCCAGTAAAAAGGGTCTCCGGTTCTCTACACTCATCATACGAAACATAGCAGCATTAAGCTGCTATTTGACGCTGGTATTCTTTGAGAGCGTGGTCGTTCCCCGGTCGAGCCGACCCATTCGTGCTACAACTATACAAATAATATAGCTGCAACATGGCTCTACCACGTAAAATATCTTCTCCTGCATATCTTTAGATTGAGATCTTAGATTTTCTCTCCATCTACTGGGGGGACGCTCTACACTTCGTCTGCCGGTATGAGGCTGCTCGCGATCTTTCTCCCCCAATGGTTGTCGGTTCTTCGAGCTAATATGTTGAGGTATGTCGTTTAATCCGGTTCTACTGCGGACATACTCGTTTTTAAATCTATCACGCAAAGAAACCATTTTCCGCCATAAGAGTTATATCCATTTCGCCATAAGGACTTTATCATCGGCAAATCGAAGGTGAGAAATGTTTTCACTATTACAGTTGTAATAGTGGTGATATAAAGTCCACTATTAACAGACTCCGAGTGGTTTAGTGGTGGAGAAATGAAACTACTATTTTATGTGCAGACGAATGGAGTATGGAATATGGAATATATTTTTTGATCAACCCTGCCTATATTTATATGTCCGGCTACGTTGTTAGTTTACCAATAGTAACAATTTTTATTTGCCTAGCCAATTACAATTCATACATTATGACCAATAAAGATTAATCAAAATACAACTATTATGTGCGCTACATTTCCCGGCGTGAGACTCGTGTATATCTTCTCCGTAGCTGCTTTGCTGGACTGGGCTATAAAAGTTGTGCAGGCCGGCGCGCGCACGTAGTCGGTGAGCGGCGGCGGCGTGGGACACAGCTCCGGAATAGCAAGAAGAAGCGAGCTGCGGCGTTGAAGAAACGGCTCAAAAATGGTCGACGGATACATGACGATAGCGGCGTGTGATCAAGGATCTCCTAGGTGTGCGTTGTTTGTAGTTAGCAGTGGCTGCATACAACCGCCGGTACGACATACTCCGCCGATCATTGAGTCCCGTGATTCCGTGAGGCGTGAGGTCACCGGCCCCTAGGTAGATTCTTGGCACTTTAAGCGTTCCGTGCATTTTGTGCCCAGTCGCGTTTTAAAGTGCCACCATCGCACTTCCCCCAACCCTTTTGTTGCAAGAGGGGTAGGCAGTGCCCCAAGTATGGATCATCATCATCATCATCATCATTACAGCCCTTCACAAGTCCACTGCTGAACATAGGCCTCCCCCAAGTAATGCCACAAAGCACGGTCCTGAGCCACCTGCATCCATCGACTTCCTGCATATCTTACCAGGTCGTCACTCCATCTAGTGGGGGGTCGCCCTACACTACGCCTACCGGTACGAGGCTGCCACTCGAGAACCTTTCTTCCCCGTCGGTTATCGGTTCTTCGAGCTATATGGCCGGCCCATTGCCACTTCAGCTTACTAATCCGTTGGGCTATGTCGGTCACTCTGGTTTTACTGCGGATATCCTCATTTCTGAGTCTATCACGCAGAGAAACTCCGAGCATAGCCCTCTCCATAGCTCGCTGAGCGACCTTGAGCGTCCTCATACGGCCAGCAGTGAAGGACCACGTCTCAGATCCGTAAGTCATCACTGGCAACACGCACTGGTTGTACAATCTAGTTTTTAGAGATTGAGGTGTACCTGACGAGAAGATATGTCGTAATTTCCCGAACGCTGCCCAGCCGAGTTGAATCTGTCGATTGACCTCTCGGTCGAAGTTGGACTTACCTAGTCGGATTATTTGTCCCAGGTAAACGTACTCGTCAACAACTTCGAGCATAGTGCTCCCAACAACTACCGGTATAAGTGTGACATGGACATTAAACATAATCTTTGTTTTGTCCATGTTCATCTTAAGACCTGTCCGTTGGGAGGCACTATTGAGGTCCACTGACTGTTAGGGTAGGTTAGGACATGTCAGGTAGGGATAAGGGAGAACCTCCCCTCCGATAAGAAAACCACCGGACCGAAAAGGTGTGTTGGATCGACCACTGGTTGTGAGGGATCTGGCGAATCCGGAGCGCACGAGAATAGTGTCATCCTTCTCGCAGATCCCCCAAAGAAAACCCGTCTCGCCGCGGAAAGAGCCCGCACCGGGCGTCGCGCTCACGCCGGCCGTGTCTGAGTACACGGTCAGGCAGGAACCGTCGCCCCAGCAGCAGCGGGCAAAGAAAACGGCCAGACGCCATAGACCTCCAGAGACCGAAGCCTCTTTATACGAAAAGAGGCTAGCTTCCGATGAACCAGCATCCTTATCGGAAGAGGAAGATTACCACCAGAAGACGACGAAGAAGGTGCACAAATCACCGCCAAAGTCGCCCTCACCACCACAACCCCCCCGCTCAATGTCACCGGATCATCGAAGCCATGACTCGGCCCAATATGAGCAGGGGGGGCGAGGAATCCTATAGCTGGGGGTCGACCACCTATGTGACCCTCGCAGCATCCGCCAGCCGATCGTCGCCGGTGGCAACAACTAACCCGTCCGGGCTCCCGCAGGATGATGGCCAACGGCCATCTACCAGCTATGCCCATATGGTAGCAGCACCAGCAGTGCCACGACCACAACCGGCGGCAGCGCCTGCTGATAAGCCTGCCGACCAGGAGAAAACTAGATATCCGCCCATAGTGGCAGAATGCCTCCCGGACTGGACGAGGCATTTCAAGGAGCTCAACAGAAAGTTGGGCCACCCTATAAATGATCGTCCTTCGGGAAGGGGGTACGTTTCACACCGCAACGCGCAGAGGAGTTCAGAACCGTACAACGGTATATGGTAGAACTCACGAAAGAGACACCATCATTGTCGTGGTATTGTTATACTCCGGAGGAAGTCGAGCTCACAAAAGTGGGCATCCGGGGTCTACCAATGGGCACGGATACCAATATCATAGAGGAGGCTATAAGGGCAAAGGGCTTCCCCATCAATTATGTTAAGGCAATCCCACCACGTAGGGGCGGACCTGGCTGCCTCTACTTCGCCCAATTGGATCACCTGAGCCTGGAGCAGCTCCAGGACCTATACAAGGTCGACGAACTCCTCTACATGAGAGGGGTAGTCATCGAGGCCTGGCAGATGAAGGCAGGACCAGCCCAACGCCACAGATGCCAGGCCTTCGAGCACGCCTCCGCCAACTGCTTCAGGCCAGTGAAGTGTGTGCGCTGCGCCGGGGAGCATATAGCGAGCCTTCGCCCTCGGGGTAGAGATGAGGAACACAAATGTGCCAACTGTGGTAAAAACCACACGGCAAATGACCGCCGCTGCCCAGTCCTGAGGAGGACTGCAAGGAGACAGGGGATTACTCTACCGTGACTACTCCCGGAGGACCCGAGAAGGATCCCCCAGAGTCGCCCAAAAGCAGTAACCATTCAGAAGGACGGGTGGACTACCGTAACAGGGAAGGGCAGGCAACCAGCCACCCCCCCCCCCCACCCGTAACACCTATGGAAACGGTGGAACCCGTAGAGGTAAGGGCAACCACCGGGGCGACTCTACAGCCCCCCGCCAACCCCGCTACAGAACGGCAACCCTCTAAAAAGAGGAGGCGGGATAGGAGCAGGAAGAAGTCGCAGCCTCCACAGGCTGTTACCTCTACCCCGACACCAACAGGACCAGTAGTCTCACAGGCGCAGATTACTCGGGAGACGACCAAAAAGAGCGTGGGTAGAGTGGCAGAAAGGGCGCTATCTGAAAATAGAGCCCGCTCTACACATAAAGCGCGCTCTACCCATAAGCCAAGAGTGCAGGATTATCAACATCCGAGACCAGTGCCGTATTAGGTCCCGAAGAACCAACACACGTTCCATCTGATCCACGGAGACATCCGGATGTATTGGATATCGTTAGGAACGTCAATTACCCGATAGTGGTAGAAGTGCTGTACGACCTCAGCTCATAGCACCTCCCGATTCTGATAACCCTTGTCCTAAAGGCGGTGACAACGCCGCCCAGAGCATTCAAGATACGTATCGACTGGAGGCTCTATTGCCAACATCTGCAGGAGAGACCTCCAGTCCACCATCCCATAAGCACAGCGGATGACGTAGAGGCCGCTGCCACTAGAATTACCAAGAACATCCAGGAGGCCCTCCACGTGGCCTCTACGATCGTCCCGATCACTGCAAGGCGAGACGATCTGCCGCGAGAGATATGCGTGCAGATCAGGCGCAAGAGAGCGTTGAGGAAGCTCTGGGCGCGCACTCACTGCCCTAGATTGAAAAAGCAACTCAACACCTTGTCGGAGGAACTGTCGATTGCAGTCCAGGCCTTCAGAGGAGAGGCCTGGGATCGGCGCATCTGGAAGGCGGATGAGCATGATGCGTCGCTCTATAAACTGAACCGACAGTTGACAAAAACCAGACCTCCCGTTTGCCCGCTGACCAACAGTGCGGGTGAACGCTGCTACGATGCCAAGGGCAGAGCGGATATCCTAGTCGAGCACTTCGAGGAGCAATTTATGC